GGTGAGACAGAAGAGGATGACACACACATACATGAAACGATAACACGCATTTAGCTAAATCTCGACCGCTGTGTTCAAGACGGGAGGGCAACATGGTGGTTTCCATGATTCGGTGCCAGGTCCAATATATTTTTGATGGATTCACTCACAGGTTTATGAGAATGTAAATTTGTTGAAACACACAATTACATATGAGTGCAACTTTTTTCCTCTTAAAGGACCTAAAAAATTACTTGCGGTACCTTAAAAGTGAATCTCTGGATTTTTGAGTGCTGCACATTCAAAACAAAGAATTGGAAGATATGCCCAAGGCCTTTGCTAACTGTGCAGCTCACCAAGCCTAAACACCCCTCAGATATGCAAAAAGATGTTATTTTGCTTGTTTTATTCTTGTTTTCCTTTAGACTTTTATATTTTTTACTATTCAGCAAAGAATTGTGCCTTAGTGAATGTGGGAACGTCGGAAAAGTAGGTGGAAGTGAGGGTGGAGGCTACGAGAGGGAATCCAAAACACAAGCATCTCCTGCACATACCAGGCAGGAAGCAGAAGCAGATTTTTTAGGTGGTTTGACAGGAGGAGGGGATGCATTGTCCCACTCCCAAAATGCCATGGAATTCTGTAGGACCAGGCAGCCCTCCACCTGCTCGAGGAGGAAGAGCGGTACAACCCGACCCCGGACGGACCGGAACAGGACACACAGCCAGATAGACGACGACAGAGGCAAAAGAATGGAAAATAAGAAGACAGTGAAGGTAGCATGTGCATAAACATAACATAAACCAAACAAAGAAAGCTCAAACAGAAGGAAACATAAATGTCGTTACATAACAGAACAAATAAGCAGAAAATAAAGATGAGAGTTAGAGAGCAGTGGAGAACAGTGGAGAACAGGGAGCGGTCAGAAGGTTGGTTCTTCACCTCTTTCAGCTCATTATCAAGGGTTAGATGTTCCGTTTGTTGTCTGTGGCGATCTTTCCTGCGCTGAGCTGTTGTTGCCTTGTGACACCACCTGCAGAAC